AATAGAGATGAGCACCACCACCCCCAGAGCCAGAGATGAAAAGGAAGTCTTTACCTTTATCTGTGTAATGAAACACAGTTTCTCAGCACTGAATGTTTGCCTTGTGTCTGTATATGCTGGAATCCGCTCTGAGTCCCCTTGTGGAGATAAGGTGGAATACAAATAAAGTGCTATTATTATTATTATTACTACTACTACTACTACTACTACTACTACTACTAATGGATGGGGGTGTGATTAGAAAACCTCTAGAGATTGAGAGGACAGGGGACAATTTCCCCCTACTATCCTCCTACAAGATTTTATTTTGCATTGTTGTGTACTGGAGTCCAATCACTGTGCACTCCATTGAATCCTGATGTCATTTAGGCCAAATTTCAGTCCCATTTTTTGCCTGGCACATTTGTACATTTCTGAGCATGTGGGTAACCCAAATTATAGGTGGATTAAGGGCATTTTGCTCAATTTCTGGGTAAAATAAATAAATAAATAAAGATGAATTGAAAAATTTAGCAATGTTTGACAAAGTGAAATGCAGTAGGAAAATAGTGAGACCTCATTGCAGGCAGACTGAATCAATCAAAGAAGTCAAAGTCCAATTTATAAAGATTTCCATAGACATCACATAAGAGCAAGTCTATAAATTTTGGAAATGTTATAAGGTGGGAATGGAACAAAAAATCTCGTTATGGCTACGGCCTCTGAAAGCAACATTAAATCCATTTTTAATGCGGAAATGAGAACCTATAGGGAGTACTTAATTAAAGAAAAAGAGCACTGGAAACTAAAAGGAAGAGAAGACTTAGGGATAAATGATTGGTTTCGCTATCACCAATTATATGATATATTCTTAAAAGATAATAAAATAAGATTAACTGAAAGAAAATTGGAATTGGAGAATATTTTAGAGAAGAGAAATGAGGGGTTAATTTCTAGATTATATAGGTACATATTAGAGTACAACCTAGAAGATAATCAAATAAAAACAGTAATGATCTCATGGGCCAAATATTTTGGAAAAATATCAAGTTACTGGGTTGTGGTGCGTTTTCGAGGCTATATGGCTATGTTCCATACAGCCTCGAAAACGCACAGCAACCCAGTAACTTGATATTTTTGATATGACCATACAGCTCAGAAAACTCGCAGCAACCCAGTGATTCCAGTCATGAAAGCCTTCGACAACATAATATCAAGTTAGATCATTGGGAATATTTATGAGGAAAAGGATTTTAATTCTCAATAGCAGTTATCTATTAAAGAGAACATGTATACCTGAAATAACAGCTAAAATAGACAAATCTCACTGGAAGGATAGTTGAAGATGCAAAGTACAAATAGGTACTTTCTTCCATGTCTGGTGGACGCATAAATTGGTACATTTGGGGGGGGGAGTGATTAAAGAAACAAATAATATGATCACAAAAAGGTTAGGAAAAATCCAGAGATGTGCCTCTTATGGCGATTGCTACGTTTTTAATTTTATGTTTAAATGTTAAATTGTGTCATGTTTTATGATTTGATTGATGATTGTATGTTATCATTATGTTAGGTTTCTGTATGCGAGGCATTAAATTTTGTCATAATTATGTCGGAAACTGCTTTAAGACCCCTGCTGGGGTGAGAACAGTTTTATACACGTGAAGTAAATAATAAATAAATAAATAAATATTTAGTGAAAAAATCAGTAAAGAATATGTAGAAATCTGTCACTAATCATCTGAGGAAGATTATTAGTTTTTTCCATCGATTTTAACCTGTCTGACAATATTGAGAACAATTATTTTAACTTAATGAAGATTTTATTTATCGAGTCATCAGCAACCAGTCATTTATATTACATTTCTAACAGAACAAAGCAAACAAACAGACAAGATACAAAAATACAAAATACAGAATACAAAATTTGAGTTTGGTAGTTGATTAAATGTCCTTTGACCAGTATCTGGCCACTTGGAGTGCTTCTGGTGTTGCTGCAAGAAGGTCCTCCATTGTGCATGCGGCAGGGCTCAGGTTGCATTGCAGCAGGTGGTCAGTGGTTTGCTCTTCTCCACACTCGCATGTCGAGGATTCCACTTTGTAGCCCCATTTCTGAAGGTTGGCTCTGCATCTCGTGGTGCCAGAGCGCAGTCTGTTCAGTGCCTTCCAAGTCGCCCAGTCTTCTGTGTGCCCAGGGGGGAGTCTCTCATTTGGTATCAGCCATTGGTTGAGGTTCTGGGTTTGAGCCTGCCACTTTTGGACTCTCGCTTGCTGAGGTGTTCCAGCGAGTAGATCTTAGAAATAATGAAGAGATATATGTTTACATATTTCATAATTCTTATATTTTTATATTTTTACTTTTATAATTTATTTATACAGATTTTAATAGTTTGATCTATCTACTGTGATTTTATTTATGAGGCCTGAATGAGTTTCATGTTTTAGCCAAGTTTGTTCAATTGGTCTATTTTAAAGTGTTTTTAATTGTTTATTTTAATTGCTTTAATTTGTTTTGTGTCTGGCATTGAATGTTTGCCATTTTTTTTCTTTTTGGAAGCCACCCTGAGTCCCTCCGGGAAGATAGGGCGGGTTAAAAATAGAGTTTTATTATTATTTATTATAATATAGTTTTGTTGCAATGAGAATCGTAATAGCAAAATCGTGGAAAGGAGAAAAAGAGTTATTGCTAAAGGACTGGAGAGAAAAAATATTATAATATATCCAATTGGTCAAGCTATCCAATGGTATATGGTGAGAAACCAATGAAGACTTCATTAAGAAATTGAGATTGACTTAAAATGGGCCAGGGATATAGGTCGATCAATTAGTTTTGCCAAACGGGAGGAGATCTGGTCTAAGAAGTTAAAATATACCTACTCAACTGACTTTAAAGAAAATTGATACAAACTATTTTATAGGTGGTACCTAACCCCAGATCAACTGTCAAAAATCAACAGAAAAAGAAATGATGGAAAATGCTGGAAATGTAGGAAAGAGAAAGGAGACTTTATCCACATGTGGTGGAAATGCAGGAAAGTTAAGTCCTACTGGCGACCAATTCACAAAAAAAATTGGGCCTGTGCATCAGACTGTAGACAAGACATAAATTCTGTGTGCCCAACAGGATGCCGGGGCTGCCTCAGATTAAAGGCCCTTGGACCTCCCCAAAACAAAAGTCTGTAGAGGCTTAAAGTAAGTCCAACAAAGTTCTTTATTGATTAAAGCAAACATGTACTTTAAAGCTTTCTTAACAGTCTATTGGCTCTTGCAATCTTGTTCACTGGGAACAGGCACTATCTTCATAACTGTATACTAACTAATGGGGAAATCCTTAACTTCTAATCTGGGCAGTCTGTACTTTGCCTCTGTTGGCGTGGAGCCCCTGCACCCGGTACCAACTGCGTCTGGCTTCCGTGAGCGACCCTTACCAAGCAGAGCTTTGTAGACTTCCAGGGAAAAAGGAGTTCAGGTTTCAGTGATGGCTGGCTGAAGTCCTTCAGCAAAGGAGCTGTAAGGCTGCAAAATCCTCAGCCAAGCTGTGGGCCTTTTCTCCCTGGCCAAGCTGTAGGGCTGTATAACCCCAGCCAAGCTGTAGAACTGTATGTCTCCCGGCCTAGCCATAGAAGATGAAGCTTTCTACAGGAGCTCTTTGATTTATGTCCTATGAGAAAGGCTTCTCTGTGTGGACTGACTCAAAAAGGCTCCTATTCCCTCCAAAACTCAAAAAGGGGCGGGACCAGGGAACCTAACGATAATTGACAGGTGGCTTGCCCTATGATTGCAAACTATAACAGGAAGCCACCCTGCTGCAAAATCCCAAGCCTGGGATTGCAAACAAACATTTAATGCAAAGCAAACAAAATTGGAGCTCCTGGTACAGCTGTACCAGCACAGGGGGGGAGGTGGGCTGTGTAGGGGAATGTGTTACCTGTATTATGTGTATTTATTATCTTCTGATGCTTTCTTTCTCATATTCTGAATGCCATTAATTCACTTAATAAAAACTTTTAATAAAAAAATTAAAGAAGTCATAGACCTGAGGGCTTTTATTCCCCAACAGAAGACTCCTGGATTTGAATTCATTGGTATACTTCTTCTACCCCCCACCCCTGAAAAAAATTAATGAAACAGTATCATTTATCTCATAATTATTTTCCTTCCCTTTCAGCGACAATTTCAGGAGGGCAAGAAGGTAAGCAAACACACCGGGTAGAGACAAAGTGTAGCCATGGATCACTGAAACATCTGGCTTCCTGGCAAGAGGCAGACCATTTGTGATCAATAAATCCCTCGTTATTATTCCCACCATGTTTGGAAAGAGACAAGTACATTAACCTTTCCAAAGGGTCTATACATCCTCCATGCTCTCAGAAAACAGATGGGAAAGGTAGGGAAAAATAGTGAGGTTTTCTCTGTGTCTTCCTTATATTCTACATGGAAAATCCAGTATGACTCTCTTATCTGTGTGAGATATGCTCTTGAACTTCTTGTGTATATGCAAAACCACACATGATAGCAAACCATACTGAAATAAAAGAGTTTTGACCCAACAATACCATAGTGTTGTGTGAGGGGATCTAGAAAATGCCTGCAGAGGACATATATCATCAGACATAAAGAAATGAAAATACAGTGAGGTACTTGTCCTGCTTATATGGGGGTTGTACTATATATATTGCAGGTCCCATTTGTACTTCTGTAAGCTAGTCTCCCTGCAAATACCACTCCTGTTTAGCACCATCTAATCCCATCTGTGACTTGCTATTTCTTAAAAGCAAGTGAAGGGGCTGGCTGCTTTTCCGAGGAACTGCCAGTTTGCCCTGAGGCCCTCTCCTTCTGGATCATAATTGTTTCATAATTTGATTCATTTTTTTATTCTGCCTTTTCCCCAACATAATTACAAATTATGAAAGCCCATACATCCAAAATATCAGAAGATAGGCAACCTATACAATTAAAACGATTGAGAATGTATTAAAATATAGAAAAGTAAAAAGTTAACAGCCCCTTACAGTCCATTCATAAATGCCTAAAATACTAAAGGTAAAGGTAAAGGTTTTCCCCTGACATGAAGTCCAGTCATGTCTGACTCTGGGGTGTGGTGCTCATCTCCATTTCTAAGCCGAAGAGCCAACGTCGTCCATAGACACCTCCAAGGTCATGTGGCCAGCATGACTGCATGGCCACACAGTTTTCAGTTTTCATAGCGGTGCTTCCTAAACATACTGCTTCCTGGTTTATGCAGAGTCTGGCACAGCTGTTATAGGTCTGTCTGAGTGCATTCTTCTCAGGAATGATCTTCCTTGGGGGTTCATCATTGTTACAATCTTCTTTGTCAGATGAATTCTGGAAAGCTGTGAGTGAGCCAGTCCCTGGGTTATAAAGGCATCGCAGCGAGGGCATGCTGTCCGCCAGGCTGGAACAGCCCAGCCACAGAGACTGGGGCATAGAGCACATGAACTTGAGGGCCTTCTCCTGCACCACCGCCTCGGCCGGGTCCATCGCCCCTCTCTGGTGCTGCTCCCCCGCCAGCTCCGGGCCTGAGGCCTGGGCCTAGGCCGGACCCCGCTCTCCCTCCCTTTCCCTCAGTGCAAGGCTGCAGACAGCGCAGCAGCAAACAGGAAGCCCCATGGAGCATGGAGCGCCATTACCTTCCTGCCGGAGCAGTACCTATTGATCTACTCACATTTGTGTGTTTTCAAACTGCTAGGTTGGCAGAAGCTGAGCTGACAGCGGAAGCTCACACTGCTCCCAGGATTCGACCCTGCAACCTTTCAGTCAACAAGCTCAGCAGCTCGGCGCTTTAACCCACTGTGCCACCAGGGGCTCCAAAAGACTAAAAGTCTTGTGCTATTAGAAGGAAAACAAGGTGGGAACCATTTTAGAGCGAGAGTTCCAAAATATGGAATGGGATTAAGCTCAGTGGTCTTCTTACAATGTCCAAAGAGACATTATGTGCAATGAAGGGTGGGATGAGGCGTCCACATTGTATAGCACAATTCCAGTGTCCTGACAGTGGAGTAAATTATTATAGCTGATCTGCAGTATCAATATATTCTTTATACACAGATTCAACCATCCACGTGATTCAACCATCAAAAAGGGATATTTTCTACAAGGGGACATTTTTTCTATAATTGGTCTTGAGCATCCACAGATTTTGGTATCCACTAAACTCTACAATCAAATGCCAGTGAATACCAAGTGTCTGCCGAGGTTGCTTCCTGTTTCAAAATAAGTTTGTTGAATTATGAGAGCTCATCCAAAAAAAAAGCAAAACAAAAAGACTTTTTCTGGGACGAGTTAGCCATTTCAAGCTCAGCACATAATGAGGTAGACCACTTCAGAGGAAGAGAGCAGCCAGTTGAGTAGGGGACTACCTTTACCTTTTTAACAACAACAACAACAATAACACTTTAATTATTTTCCACTGTATCTCCCTGAGGGGACTTGGAGCGGATTGCAACATACACAGATAGGCAAACATTCAATGCTTTTAATACAGTGCAATAACAATGACATACAAATACACAGAACAAAGGTAAATTCTTCCCCTTTCATTGCCGACTTTCTGGAGGTGGTACTCAGCTGTAGCCATGAGGAGGTGCCCTTGTTCCATTTCAAAGCCAAGGAGCCTGTTGTCCATAGACTCATCCTGGTTGTGTAGCTAGCATAGCTGAATGGATGTCATTATTACCTTCTCACTGAAGCAGTACCTTTTTTTTTTTTTGTCGTGTCAGGAGCGACTTGAGAAACTGCAAGTCACTTCTGGTGTCAGAGAATTGGCCGTCTGCAAGGACGTTGCCCAGGGGACGCCTGAATGATCTGATGTTTTTATCATCCTTGTGGGAGGCTTCTCTCATGTCCCCGCATGAGGAGCTGGAGCTGATAGAGGGAGCTCATTCGCCTCTCCCCGGATTCGAACCTGCGACCTGTCGGTCTTCAGTCCTGCGGGCACAGGGGTTTAACCCACTGTGCCATCGGGGGCTCCAGTACCTATTGATTTACTCACATTTGCATGTTTTCAAACTGCTAGGTTGGCAAGAGGTAGGTCTAACCCATCCCACAGCTTCAAACTGCCAAACTTCAGGTCAGCAGATTCAACAGTTCAATGGTTTAACCCAGGGGTCCTCAAACTAAGACCCGGGAGCCAGACACGGCTCTCCAAAGTCATTTACCTGGCCCTTGCTCAGGGTCAACCTAAGTCTGAAATGACTTAAAACAACAACAGCTGCAGCAGCAACAATCCTATATCATCAGCCAATAGCAGGCCCACACTTTCCATTGAAATACTAATAAGTTTATATGTGTAAAAAAATTTCTTCATTTTAATTATTGTATTGCTTTGAAGTGTTTTTTTGCACTACAAATAAGATGTGTGCAGTGTGCATAGGAATTCATTCATTTTTAAAAAAAATTATAATCTAGCCCTCCAACAGTTTGAGGGACTCTGACCTGGCCCTCTGTTTAAAAAGTTTGAAGACCCCTGGTTTAACCCGTTGCTCCTCTGTGGCCCCTATCTAGTAGGCAGCAGCTGCTTGGCATTCTTATGGTTTGAATGTGGAAAGCTGAAATAGGCCTAAATATTCCCCAAAGATGGAATATCTCCTGCTGCCCTTATGAGTTTGGAACACATTTGTTTGGTCACAAAAGATGCAACTTTCATTGCTCCCCTTCCATTCTCTTCCTGTGACACACAACAAAAAGTAAACCAAATCCTTCCACATTAGCAGAGAGGGAGAAAATGCTGCCTCTACCAATCACTTAGCCTTTTTCTCCTGCTTGTGTTGAAGTAATTTATGAAGAGGAGGCACTCATTATAGCTGTCCTCTTGACTTCAAATAAAGTCTTAGATCCAAGCAGCTATGTTGATACACATCAACAACCAGTCACAGCAATTTTCTTCTCTCCTGGGAGCAGGGCTTTTCTAAAGCCAGTGGGTCTTATTTGCCCATTCAAGACCCAGTGAGCAATCAAAATAGCTTCAGTTGTAACAAAAATAGCTCACAAAATATATGGATGCTGGAGGGGGTGGGGGGGAATCTATCCCTTCCCTAGGTATTGCGAAGATTGCTGTTAAGCTCATAGGAAAATAGAACCTCACAGGGAAGCAGATGATAGGAACTCATGGCATGCCCACATTTTGACCTTACAAGACCTGACCTCACTGAACCCCTGAAGCCAGAATGGGGCAAGAGACAGGTGCTGCTACCTGTACCTACCTACTCTCAGGCCTCTCCTGCTTCCACCTTCTATGTGGCTGTGTATCTCCTCTCTGTGAGCAATGCAGCTGGAAGGACAAGACTAGGCAGAGCCATTCAGCTAGATTAATGTTTTCAAAAGAGGACAATATTGTCCTCAAATGCAAGGGGAGGGCGGGAGCTGGAATGATCCAGGAGTGTGGTAGTAGTCTGGGGTGCAAATGAGTGGAGGCAGCATGAATTTTAATCTTTGTTCTGTTGAGGGGCTAATGCAGTTTTTTTTTCATTAAGCGAGCAAGCAACTCCCTGAATCCCCAACCAAACTGCCTATAGTGCACATACCAGAGCCAGGGAGGGATTAGGAAAGAAGATAAACAAGGTCACCCAGTGGGTTTCCATGGCTGAGCAGGGAAAGGAATAGAACCCTGGTCTCCAGAGTTATAGTCCAAAGCCTAAACCATTATACCAGTTAATTCAGGGAGGCCATGCCCCCCAAGATTATGCAAGTTTTTCCTGGTGGTGTGGTTTTTAGGCCTGTTTCAGGGGTTATTTGGGGTGATGTTTGAGAAAATTACATTAGATAGAACACATCAACTAATTTATAAGATATGGTAAAATCATGGTTTTATGTGGATGAGCGGATGATGACTGTAGATGGCATGTGTTCTGTATCTCAAAAACTAGAGCTGATAGGGGAAAGCTAATGTCATGTTTGGAATCAGTAGGTCAAACATACCCAGAAACAGGTGTAACATTTGAGGTACCAAAATGGGTGTTGTAGTCAAACTTTGTGCTCCTGCCACCAGTTCTCTCCCTCCCCTCCATGCCTCCTCTTTGAGGGCATATTTCCTTCTCTCCTACATTCAGGAGTAGGGAGAAAAGTCCTCAAAAGAACAAAGAAGCAACAGGGAAGAGGGAATTCCAGAGTGAGGAATAATTGCCAGGGTCTTCCTTCCCCTTATTTTGTTGTCTGGGGATCAGGATGGAGGAGAAAGCTTTGTCTGAATTCACTTTGCCCTCTTCATTACTCTGCTTTGCATTCTAGACCTCAAATGGACAATGCTCTTCCCCTTTTGTTGTTCACTTGCAAAGTTATTCATGAATCCCTTTCCTTTCCATGGTTATAGAATCATAGAGTTGGAAGAGACTGCATGGGCCATCTAGTCCAGCCCCCTACCCTGCAGGAAAAGTGCAATCATAGTACCCCTGACAGATGGCCAACCAGTCTCTGTTTAAAAGTTTCCAAGGAAGGAGTTTCCACCACACTCTGAGGCAAAGAGTCCTACTGCTGAACAACTCTTACAGTCAGGAAGTCCTTCCTAATATTCAGGTGGGATCTCCTTTTTCCTGCAATTTGAACGATTTGAATGATTAAATACCTGTGCTTCCAAAGCCAATCCAGACAAATGGGGAGAACGAGAGGAAGAAGAAGAGGGGGAAGAAGTGGAGGAGTAGGAGGTAGAAGGGGAGGAGGAAGAGAGGAAGGGGAAGAAGAGGAAGAGGAGGAGGAGAAGGAAGTAGAAGAAGTAGAGGAGGAAGAGGAATTGGGGGAAGGGGAGGAAGAAGAAGAGGAAGGGGAGGAAAAAGGGGAGGAGGAAGAGGAGGAGGAAGAAGAGAAGGAGGAGAAAGAAGAAGAAAGGGATAAAGAGGAAGAAGAAGAAGAGGAGGAAACAAAAGAAGAAAAAGGAGAGGTGGAGGAGGAAGAAGAAGAGAAGAATAGGAGTATGAAGGAGAAGAAGAAGAGTAGAAGTCAGAAGGGAGGAGGAGAAGAAGGGAGGAGAGAAGAAGAAGGGGAAGAGGAAGGAGAAGAGGGAGAGAGGAAGAAGGGGAAGAAGAGGAAGAAGAAAAGAGGAGGAAACAAAGAAGAAAAAGAAGAGGTGAGGAAGAAGAAGAGAGAAGGAGGGAAGAGAAGAAGAAGAGGAGGAAGAAGGGAGGAGGGAAGAAGGGAGGAGGAGGAAGAAGGGGAGGAAAAGGAAGAAGAAGGGGAAGAAGGAGGAGAGAAGGAGGATGAAGAAGAAGGGGAAGAAGAGGAGGAGGAGGAGGAGGAAGAAGAAGAAGAAGAAGAGAGGAATAGGAGTGTGATGGAGGAGGAGAAGAAGAGGAGGAGGAAGAAGAAGGGGAGGAGGAGGAAAAAGAAGAAGAGGAGGAGAAGAACGGGAAGAGGAAAAAGAAGAGAAGAAGAAGAAGGGGAAGAGGAGGAAGAAGAGGAGGAGGACAAAGAAGGAGGAGGAAGAAGGTGAGGAGGAGGAGGAGGACGAAGAAGAGGAGAAGAAGGGCAAGAGGAAGAAGAAGGAGAGGAGGAGTAGGAGGAGGAGAAGAAGAGGAGGAAGAAGAAGAGGGGAAAGAGGAGGAAAAGAAGAAGAGGAGGAGCAAGAAGAGGGGTAGGTTTGACAGAACTTGGGGCGGGGGAGGGGTGGAATCGGGCTAAACCTCCCTTTGCCCCCCTTCACTACCCAAAAGCAATATGTCACCTTCACCCCCATTGATAGAAGAGACTCTGATCATCTCTCCAACCACACACACATACACATACCCCCCCGGATCCAGACCAAGGTCGGGACCTTTCCCATTGGGTCACCTGCCCTCCCCGAGCCGCTGGCCAGAGTGCCTGCCTGCCGAGCGCCTGGGCCAGCTCCGCGCATGCGCCGCGCGCTCTTCTCGGCATCAGAGCCCTCCTCGCCGCCTGTGGATGGAAAGTTGCATTCCTTGAACCTTCGCGGGAGGGGGCGGGGAGGGGGAAAGCGAGGAGGAGGAGGAGGAGGAGGAGGAGGGGAGGGAGGGAGGGGGAGAGAGGAGGCAGCGGCGCTCTCGGCTCGCGGAGGAGAAGGAATGTGGGCAGTTGGGCGCCGGGAGTGCGTGGGGATCGTGGTCTTCGCCGTGCTGCTGGTCTGCCGGGCCAAGAGGTGAGGAGGGGGCGAAGGGGGCCGCGGGTTTAGGGGGGGCGAGGAAGGGCCAACCCCGTCCTCTGTGTATCCTTTGGGAAGTGGATCTTTCGGGATGTACTCTCCCTCCCCTCCTCCTCCTCCTCCCCGCGTTTCCTCAACCCCCATCTCCTCATCCTTCTCCTTCTTCCCTCTCAGCATGAACGAGCCCAGCAACATGTCCTACGTGAAAGAGACCGTGGACCGGCTGCTCAAGGGGTACGACATCCGCCTCAGGCCGGATTTTGGAGGTAATTCCGAAATTGTGACAACGGGGTTGGTTTTGTTTCCAAAGGCAGGGAGACAGAGGTCAAGTTAGACTGCAAAGGAGTCTGCAAATGGCCCCCGGGAATGAAATCCCACCCCCTGGCCCCTTTTTTCCTTCCTTCCCATAAGGAACACACTCCTTTGTTTCAAGCATTTCAGTCCCTTCCAAAAGCTTCCGGATTTCACAAGACTCTACTTTAGGCAAGGAAAGGAGAGGAGAAAAGCTAAGCAGGTGGACATTTTGCACCCCTATTAGTAATGACATCTTCTGATGCACAAGAGTAGGGCTTTCCGACTCCGTTTGTAAAATAACAACCCACCTGTGTGGCCTTCCAGGCTCTCCCGTGGACGTGGGCATGAGGATCGAGATCGCCAGCATAGACATGGTGTCAGAAGTCAACATGGTGAGTAGCGAGTACCGCCTTACAGGGGGCTTTTATAGTGTTAAAAAAGAGGGTCTCCTTTCAAATAGAGGGGCTTTGTCGAGCAGGATGTGCTGCTGAGGTCTTTGGGTTGCCTTTCCGGCATTTTCAGGTGTGGAACGGCCCCATCTACTGGCTGGAACGCCTCTCGAAGAGGCATTTCAGCACCTTGGACAGCGGTCTGTTCATTTCCTCCTTGGTTCTTTCCACGTTGAACCAAGGTTCAATGCCTTCTCGGAGAGGCATTTCAGCACCTTGGACAGCGCTCTGTGCCTTTCCTCCTTGGTTCCTTCCGCTTTGATCCAAGGAGGACGGGAACAGAGCGCTGTCCACGGTGCTGAAATGCCTCTCCGAGAAGGCATTGAACCTTGGTTCAACGTGGAAGGAACCAAGGAGGAAGGGAGCCAAGCGCTGTCCAAGGTGCTGAAATGCTCTCTCCGGGAAGGCATTGAACCTCCGTGTTAAACCTTGGTTCAACGTGGAGGGAACCAAAGAGGAAGGGAACCAAGCGCTGTCCAAGGTGCTGAGCGTTTTGTTTTGTTTCTGCATTTGTTATGGAGTCTGCAAGGTTGGCCGAATCGAAAGAAAGCAAGCCTTGATCGGTTATCGTTGGGGAAGCAAAAGGAGGGGAGCTTCACAGCTCTTCCAGCATTTTAGTATGCAACTGGTAGCTCTCTCTTTCTCTCTCTCTCTTGGTTTGCTTGCCTCTGCGGCTCTCATTGCAGCAGTTCTGGCTCAGCGCAGCCAGGAGGAGGGCAAGTTGTTGATGTTCTGGCTGGTTTTCAGTTTTGATGCAGGGAATGTTTCTCCCTGATTGGAGAATGGATTGTCGAAGGCTTCCATGGGTTGTTGTGAGTTTTCCAAGCTGTGTGGCCATGTTCTTGACTTCTGTGCTTTACTACTACTAATAAAATCTATATAAATAAAAATGTAATGTTTAATAATAATAATAATAAAACTTTATTTGTACCCTGCTACCATCTCCCCAAGGGACTCAGTGCGGCTTACATGAGGCCCACAGCACATGAATAAACAAAAGCAATAATAAATAATCAATACAAAACAGTTAAAGTAAAACTCAAAAACAAAAAAATACACAATAAGCAATAAACAATAACAATAACCTGCACTGCCAGGCAATCAAATGCTAATCAAGATGGTCAGTTGAAACATTCACACCTAGCTCCAGCAGACAAGAGTCCTTTGTCCCACCCTGGTCATTCCACAGATATATAAACCCTTTTTCCTAGTTCCAACAGACCTCACTACCTCTGAGGATGCTTGCCATAGATGCAGGCGAAACATCAGGAGAAATGCCTCTAGAACATGGCCATATAGCCCAAGAAGGCCCTCTCTCTCATCCCCACCAACCGAGCTTGTGACAGAGGTGGGAGTGAGAGGAGAGCCTCCCTGGAGGATCTTAGAGTTCATGCCGGTTCATAGATGGAGATGCAATCACAAAGATAGGTGGGCCCCAAACAGTTTAGGGCTTTATAGGTCATGGCCTGCACCTTGAATTTGCTCAGCAATTTATCGGCAACTAGTGAAGTTGTTTTAATAGGGGTGTTATATGCTCCCTATAGTTTGCTCCAGTAAGGAGCCTGGCTGCCACCTGTTGTACCAGTTGAAACTTCCGGGCCGTCTTCAAGGGCAGCCCCACGTAGAGCGCATTGCAATAGTCCAGTTTGGATGTAACCAAGGCGTGGACCACCCTGGCCAAGTCAGACTTCACAAGGTATGGTCGTAGCTGGCACACAAGTTTGAGTTGTGCAAAGGCCTCCTGGCCACCGCTACCATCTCCCCAAGGGACTCAGTGCGGCTTACATGAGGCCCACAGCACATGAATAAACAAAAGCAATAATAAATAATCAATACAAAACAGTTAAAGTAAAACTCAAAAACAAAAAAATACACAATAAGCAATAAACAATAACAATAACCTGCACTGCCAGGCAATCAAATGCTAATCAAGATGGTCAGTTGAAACATTCACACCTAGCTCCAGAAGACAAAGTCCTTTGTCCCACCCTGGTCATTCCACAGATATATAAACCCTTTTTCCTAGTTCCAACAGACCTCACTACCTCTGAGGATGCTTGCCATAGATGCAGGCGAAACATCAGGAGAAATGCCTCTAGAACATGGCCATATAGCCCAAGAAGGCCCTCTCTCTCATCCCCACCAACCGAGCTTGTGACAGAGGTGGGAGTGAGAGGAGAGCCTCCCTGGAGGATCTTAGAGTTCATGCCGGTTCATAGATGGAGATGCAATCACAAAGATAGGTGGGCCCCAAACAGTTTAGGGCTTTATAGGTCATGGCCTGCACCTTGAATTTGCTCAGCAATTTATCGGCAACTAGTGAAGTTGTTTTAATAGGGGTGTTTGTATGCTCCCTATAGTTTGCTCCAGTAAGGAGCCTGGCTGCCACCCGTTGTACCAGTTGTAATTTCGGGCCATCTTCAAGGGCAGCTCCACGTAGAGCGCATTGCAGTAGTCCAATCTGGATGTAACCAAGGCATGGACCGCCCTGGGCTAATCAGACTTCACGAGGTATGGTCCCAGCTGGCGCACAAGTTTGAGTTGTGCAAAGGCCCTCCTGGCCACCACTGACACCTGAGTATCAAGCGATAGTGTTGAATCCAGGAGGACCCTCAAGCTACAGACCTGCGCCCTCAGGGGGAGTGTAACCCCATCAAGCACAGGTTGCCACCCAATATCCCGATCAGCCCCATGACTGACCAGGAGGACCTCTATCTTGTATATACAATATAATATATTGTATATACATGTAATATTTATAATATTATAATGTAATACAATATAATACTACTACTACTACTACTACTAATAATAATAATAATAATAATACAATATTATAATTATAATTATATATTTTATATTACTAATAATATTACAATATAATAGTGTAGTGCAATATAGTAATATATAATACTGATATTGTACTATTGTAATAATATAATATATTGTATGTGTGTGTATATATATTTTCTGCCTTGATGTTCTGTGTGTATTCTGTGTTGAAGAGCCCTTAGAGACAAGTGTAAATGTTGCAATTGGCCTTCTTGATTAGCACTGAATAGCCTTGCAGCTTCAAAGCCTGGCTGCTTCCTGCCTGGAGGAATCCTTTTTTGGGAGGGGGGATAAACTGCAGACTAATTCAACCAGAGAAGTCAGCCATAGCAGAGCACCTGATGAACCAACCTGGACACAGTATATTATTTGAGAACACAGAAATGCTGGACCACTCTAACAACCACCATGTCAGACTACACAGAGAAGCCATTGAAATCCACAAGCATAGGGATTATTTCAACACAAAGAAGGAAACCATGAAAATGAACAAAATCTGGCTACCAGTATTAAAAAAAAACTCCTCCAAAATCAGGACAATAAATAAAGAACAATACTGAAAAAACACAAGAATTCCAGTTAGGAAGTGATCAGGGCCATCTAACACCTCCCAACAAAGGATCCCCCATGCAGGAAGCTGCCAGGCTTTGAAGCTGCAGGGCTATTCAATGCTAATCAAGGAGGCCATTGCAACATTCATACTTGCCTCAAGTAGACAAGAGTTCTTTCTCACACCCTGGACATTCCACAGATAAACATCACTTGCCTAGATTCCAACAGACCTCACAACCCCTGAGGATGCCTGCCATCGATGTGGATGAATTGTCAGGAGAGAATACTTCTAGAACATGACCATCCTGCCCAGAAAACTCACAGCAACCTAGAGAATCGATTTCCTGCTGTTGCCAAATCAGACTCAGTCATGGTAATTGTGGGCCCTATAAGCAGAGGCTGGGTTGAGAGGACAGGATAGCCATGTTGAAATGTTTGAAAAGATGTCACATTGAGGAGAAGGCAAGCTTGTTTTCTGCTGCTCTAGAGACCAGGACAGGGAGTGATTGATTCCAACTAAACATTAGGAAAAACTTCCTGAAAGTAAAAGCTGTCTGAATGGCATACATTGCCTTGGAGCATGATGGAGTCTCCTCTGGATGGGCATCTATTGGGAGTGCTTTGCTTGTTCATGGCAGAGTGTTAGATTGGATGGCCCTTTGGGGTCTCTTTCAAGTCTGTGGTTCTATTCCTGTTGAATTGCAAAAGCCTGTTGAGCCTCACCCTCATCCTGCATGTCTTTCATGTGTGATGGTTTCCCAAATAACCATCCTGATCTGAAGAACTCCAGCTAAGCAATAACAATAATGGCTAGGATAAGTGTGAAGGTTTGTAAGTCCAACTGATAGATTAAGCATTTTCACTATTTGCTACTGGAAAATGAGGACATTGTACAATTGCTATTTCTTTACTTAATGGAATGATGATGATGATGATGATGAAACAATTTTATTGATCGGCCAATTGGCTTTATCAAAACAGACAATATAAACACACCATACAGTATACTACTGAGTCTGAGTAAAAAATATAAATATACAAGTGGGAATGGCCAGCTTGCAACCAAATGTACCTTAATCTTAGGTATATACATCACATAACCACATCCTCCTTATACTGTATGCGAATCTGATCAATATACTCTGATCTCTTTTTAGATGCTTTAAACAGATAAAGGGAAACTTTTTTGTTACAATGGGATTATAAACAGCTAGTAAAATGTGGTTTTGGCCACTGAATAATAATAATAATAATTTTATTTATTTTTATTTATTTATTTCATGTCCAAAGCATTTCACAAAATAGCTTATCTAAAACCGATAAAGTAAAGGGATCACAAGCTGCTAGATAGTTTTAGAACAAAAACGGGCAACAGTGGCTGCATTGTCTGTAGCTTTAAAAAATTCTTCCTCTGTGCATGAGGCAGGGCATTGTGGGCAAGAACACAGATGCTGGGTTGTTTGTTCTGCTCCACAGTTGCACAAGGCAGAGGATTCATCTAGGTCAGTGGTTCTCAACCTGTAGGTCCCCAGGTGTTTTGGCCTACAACTCCCAGAAAT